TGCATGTTTTCCCAAGAAGGTGGTTCACTGTAGAATGAAGGGGAACAAAAGGGGAAAAAGGACATGAAATGAGGAGACACAGAAGGCCCTGGGGAGCAGGAAAGAGAAACTTTGTGTTGGCCCGAAAGCACCACAAAGCCAAACGTAGGAAAGAATGGAGGGCTCTGCGATCCACTCCAATGCCAAGGCATTTATAAAAATGAAAAGAAAAAGTGGAACAATGAAACCGTCTCAAAACTATCATAATGTGCACAAGTGAAATTACCAAAAATAGAACTTTAGAAAGCTTGCAATAAAAGGACTATGGAGAACCTGGGGAGATGAAGCACAGCAGGGAGCATTCAGCTAGCACAAGATTGTAGGACCAGGCTCCCAACGTGTTGCAAACGGCACAGTGCTCGAGGCCGCTGGTCTGCTCCTATGCTCACTTTGTTCTCAGCAATGACAGTTTCATTCAGCAAGACTTGGCTCTCAGGGGCCGCAGTGCCCCCGCTCGAACTGGCGCTTTATTCCTCTGTGTGCTATTCACTTTTCAAACCTAACCTTTCCGGCATCCCTGTGTGTGTGTGTGTGTGTGTGCGCGTGCGTGCACAGTGATTTATGCATTATGCATTGTAGATAGCTCTCAGCGTGTGCCCAGTCATGGTACTGAATCAAACGTTGAGCAATCTAGACGCCATAGTCTGGGGCAACCTTTATCACGCAACCTTGCATAACTCAAAGAGCATGACGTGACTTTAGTTCTCGTTATAACGCGATCGTCTCTATAGGAACCTCCCTTTTAGGATTGTATGTTTAAACAGCAACCCCGTCAGAGGAATTCAAAATATCCACAAAAGACTTCTGTCATAGCAGACGTATCACCATGGAGCATAAAAATGTGTAGGGGTTGTCTTTTGGATTTCTTATTTACTTGGAAACGTGTTTACATTCATATTTTAAGATTAAGACTACTTGAGATTTTACACATTTGGCTTTGCACCAGCATAATATGCCTCATCAACAACATTTTAACTGAAAGGTCAGAGCAAATGCCCACTGCAGTTCAATGTAATGTATTATCAATTACTAAAAGAAACTGCCTTTAACTATACCTGCGTGACACTTAACAAAATACAAACACAAAGTCATTATTAAATAGGAAAGGATGCCTGTGGGCAGATGGATGCAGGGTTTTCTAAAGACCCGCCTCGTGGTAATGTCTGCCTGTCATTTACCTGTGAGTCCATCATAGAGAACAGTGACCTGAGGGGACTAGTGAGAATACATCATATCCATAACAATGTCCGGAGAGAACACCTGTCAGTCAATCACAAACACACGCACAAAAATGAGCTTGAATGTATCTACACTCAAAATCGACACAAATACGGAAAGGCCCCAAAACTGTGGCACAAACACGCACTCTGTGTCATCCATCCATCGTCACAGCTGTCAATACCTTACCGGCAACGAGGGAGGATTTTTATAGATCCAAGTAAGCCGTCATACTGAGGGATCATGTTGCTGCTCATCACATGCTTAAATAATTAAGCCCCTATAAGGAGCACAAATGTGGTTGTCTAAAATATTCTGGGTGGAGTCTCCCAATTAAGGTGTTTACCGTCGGCGCCTGTGCTGTCCTTCGAGTTACAGGTTAGGCCTTGATCGATGATTGATGACACAGAAACTGCTGGGACGTCTTGGGAAGTCTTATTAGACAACAGAGGAATGTCTGTGTTCACCATCCAACAGTTGGTTTGACAATGGGAGAAATGCTCAGCAGGGGATCATTAATAACATGCGGAGGACTTAAGCTGGTTCTTGTTGTGATGTTACACACCATTGTGTGTATAATCATGGCGTATCCACAAGTTGGGTCCTGAGTTGTATTGGCGAGAAAGAACATTTATTTTTACAATCGAAAAATAAATAAAAGTAAACCATAGTTTGGTATTTAATTTGTACATGATTTAGTAAAGATTTCATTCAACTCATTATTGTTTTTCTAGCTGCCGTAGATCACAGGATGATACCCAACCACGGGTCAATCTTTCTTTCTCTCGAGCCCTCCGAGTCGGGGTTTATGCCTACAGCTCTGCACTTATATGAACAGGGGTTACCCAAAGTGCAGTGGGGCACCGTTTGAGGGCCTTAACCCCCGAGTCAAGGGATAAGCAGAGCATTTTAGCAAGTGCGCCTGTGTGTGCAGAAGTATTTTTCTGGGCATGTGTATCCATGTGTGTGTATGTGTGTGCTATTCAGGGTGTGTGTATGTACTGGGGCTGGATCAGTGGAGTAAATCCACACTTGAAAGAGTAGCTCAATCAAGCTCCCTTACCCATCTTCCCTCTCTGTCTCTCTCATCTCGCCGATGCTCCCCTGCTTCCAGTTCGTGGGGAGTTGAAGAGTTCACAGGACTAGGGAGCATAAGAGCGCAAATAGGGCAAAGAGGAACGCCTGTGAACCTTTACGCTTCCCATCAGCACCTTTTCCAACTGCCAATCAATCTTCAGCAGCAATGAGAAATCGTCTAATTGATGGGGCATTACGCAATATTCAATATTCTCTCAACCTACCACATAAATACTGCAAGTTCTCGACAGAGTGTTACATCTTAGGTCACATATCTTTCTGGAATATTTTGTAGGTGTAATAAGTGCAACATGCAAGTATTTAGTTAAGAGACTTCAGGCATTTAAGAACATGTCTCAATGATTAAGTTAAAAACTACTGAACAATATTTCATTAGAAAACATTTAATGTTTATTTACCACAATCTTCCTAGACAAAACCTTTGTGTTGTCGTTCTATCTACCCTCCGTGTTAAATTTCTGCAGCTGATTCGTCCTCAATGACGAGTAGTATAAAAAGCATAACCTGACAAATCGTTTCTTCTGCCTTTTAATTCAGGCCATTTCACAGTGCCAAACTTGAAGACGATGCCCTTCTTTATAACATTATCCCATCTTGTTTAGCGTGATAAAGGGCATTACCGTCAGCCAGCTCTACTGCCCACCCACTCGTGTGCATGCACGCAACATGAAGAGAATATAGTGCCCTTGGGGATACATGGTCGGGTGGCGCATTCACGGCATTTACGGATTGGGATTACTGGACACTTATTCTATACAGACATCAATTTGTCTTAGCCAGTGCCAGGCCATTGAGGTAATGGATTAGGACAAGCAGGATGAAAGGTCAGATCTACAATACAAACCAAAACATGGTTTATTTTACTGATCAATCTGAAATAATGAGGTATTGGTGCAAAAGAAAGTATTAATTGAGAATGTACTTGAAGCAAAAGGTGTCAAACTTAAATAACTAGACAGTTGCTCCTAATATCTGACACACATCAGACACACATTGTCTATCTAATGGAAGGATCCTTCCGGTGTTAAAATGAACAAAGAAGGCCTGAAGGAAAATGCTGTCTGGTGGACTGCAATGGGTCATTAATTCCCTCTATGAAACTCCTGTTTGAATTAAGGGTAGAGAGAAAAAATGTCATTAGTCTGCTTGCTTGTGTTTGAGAAATAAAAGGAGAGCTCCTCCTTAACCCAATAAATGGTTCAGGTGCTCAATCAGCAGACCATCTTTGAAGAACTTGTCAGTCCGCAAAATGAACAGAGATTTGAGGAAAAGCAAAGATGCTATTTTTGCGATACTCCATTCTGACGAGTGCTCGCCAAGAGCTGTCATCGACTTAAAGGGACGTTTTTTTGCGTGTGTGTTAACGGTGACTCATTCTGCATTACACTGATGCCTCCAGCAATGGCTTCATCGTCTAATTTGTGTGTGCATGCACATATTTGCGTGTGTGTGGATGTGTGTCAACATGCTCTGTGTGTACAAATAGACTGTGAAACAAAAGAGCTGTCTGAAGAAATGACAGGCAGCCTGAATAGTGAATACATGCGACACATAAAAACTGATGAGCGTTCCACATTTTTAGGCTGAGCTGAGGCCTCGTTATGACCGACAGGAACCGATGGAGGCACGACACCACCTCTTGTGCCGGATCATACGTCCGTAACCACAGAGGTTTAGATGACGTGAATAAAAAGTTGCAGAGCTCATGGCTCTGGAGATGGCCCAAATAAAGAAAACCTGAGTGTATTCTCATGTTAACAGATGCATCTCTAGATAATGTGCATATTGTTGTGCTAGCACTTTGGCTGTTGGGGCTTCATGGCCTCTTCTGTACTTTGTATTTGTCTATAATCAAAGGAGGTCCTTGTACTTGAGGGGACACTTACCCAGTGTGAGTCATTATTTCACTCCTGAAGAGCTATATGCTGAGGCATTGTAATGCAGCTACATCCCTTGCAGACAAGCGTTTTTTTTCTTTACGAATTTAAATGGGAGTACATGTGTACACATAACTTTGTATTTACAGGATAAAAGGCCTAAAGGAGAGCAGCTTAACAACATTGCGGATGCGGATCATGTGACACCGCATCTCATGATTAACCTTGCATGCTGGGCATTGGCCAGCCCAACCCCGCAGACCGCCAAGCCTGTGCATTAGTAGCCGACGGCTTATCTGGGCCTTCAGCTGTCCTGTCCACCTGGACACCACGATCAACAGAAAAAAAACATTGTACGCAATAGAACTATAAGCAGCATCCCCAGCGGCACAGTGTGTGAGGAAGTTCAGGCAGAGGGAGGGCGGAAATTAAATGTGGCATTCACAGTAGGTGCGTACGGACAGCGATGCTTTTCACACTCCACTGGGGGTACGGCCAACCTGCTCCCGTGGTCAATATTAGGAAGTAAACAGGATGCTGGAAGTGAGATAGTGGTAGCGTTGCATATGCAGCCCTGACGTGTTATTGTTTGTAAGACCATGGAGCACAGACTCACTAATACATCTGAACTTAACTATTTTCTTGGTGTTAACTTCCTTGAAGACCCAGGCGACTACTTACGGAGAGCTTTAAGTAACGCACTAGGCCATGAGCAGCAACCGTTGGGCATGATTTGTGTATATGTGCGCGTGTGGGGTATGTACTCACCGCAGGTACGAGGAGCTTCTTGACCTCCTCCACTGCTCTCCTCATTTTGACCTCGGCTCTGCCCTGTGTGTCTTCCACCGTGATCAGGACATGCAGGTCTTCGTTTAAGTGTTCCCAGTTTGGCTTCCCTCTGTTCTGCTCCTCCTGGACAGACATAGAGAGACAGAGATGGTGAGAGAAGGTGACTGTGTGTCTGTCTCGGTCTGTGTCTGTGTGTGTGTGTGTAGGAGCACCAGTGCCGTAACACCGCATATCAGAGGAAGCCAAGGCGAGTATGCACGGAGGACGTCAGAGCCCGGTGAACAGAAGCAGAATGACAGGAGTGGTCCTCTTGTCAGCTATTTAGCTTTAACTTTGAAAGCACACCCTTTCCTTAATTGATCCCTGGCTTCACAGAGACAAAGGCGACAGCCAGCTCTGTGGCAATTAATACCAGTGAAAAGATGAATGGGTGCAGGGATCAGAGGGAGATGGAGGGGGATTTCTAAAATCCACATGCAATTATGATACAGTTTAAAGTGACGCAGGATTGTGTGCAAAGTGGCACAAGCGCGTGCCTCTGTCTTGGACTCGTGTGGACAATACTGTTCAGGTGACAAAAGCTCCCTGGGGGAGTCGCTTTCCCACCTGAAAAGGCTGCGCCAAAGCCCTCAGGGGGAGCCAAGACGTAGTGCTAGCCGTGCCTGAGGGGGAAAATGGGCTGTATTCAATAATGACATCACAGCTTGATAGCCTTTCAAGCCATCTAAAGATTTGAATTGGGAAGGCTTACTGTTGTGAAATGATGCACAACGTCTTCACGTCTTTCAGGTGCATCCATGTAAAGCCCATTCAAAACCGGGTTCTTTTGTGGAGACTTATAACGGGAGATGGAGGATATGGAGAAATTTAGATTTTTTTGTATTATTTGAAAACGTTCATCCCTCTTCAGATTACCCCACTGACATTAAATGCAGGGCTCTAAAAAGCCTCGGAGGTCGTATCGTATGTCACCATGAAAGTCAGCGGATTAAAAGTCAACCACTTCAGACGGGAGGGAGGAGTTTAGGTCTAGCTCACATGAAACAGACAACCTCAACCTCAGAGTGTGTCACTGCATTCAAATAACAAAAAAAAAAATGTTACCATGATAATATTTCACACATTTTACAAAGGCAGAAAAAAACTAATGTCAAAATGAATGCAGCAAAAATGTAGTTCAAAATCAGAATGGTCAAGGGAGGTCACAGCTCTCGTCTCGTCTGCTGTTGGAGCAGGTTTGTTCAGACTGTTGATGAACACTGGTGTTTACCGTCGCCCATACAACCCACAGTACTGCTCATTTTAGGAGTAGTGAGCCAGTGTCTAATTAACGAGGCATTTGTGGTGATCTGCGGGGGTCCACCTGACATGATTTCAAAGCACTCATCCAGCACCACGGAGTGAGAGGGAAACACACACACACACACACACACACTCTCTGAGTGCCACCCTTCTGCTTTCTACTCCATAGAGACCTGTTGCCATGGCACTGCTCTTTACTATAAACACACACAAGTTCAATATTCCACCCGCGTTTCCCCTTTTCCACACAGGGGGAGAGCCTAGTTTCAGCAGCCAGGCCGTTATATTCCTATTGCTGTTTGCTTATGGCCTATTAAGGAATAAGGTGACTCAGCATCTTCTAGAAGGAAATAAGACAGACTGGCCACAAAGGGCTTCTTCTGAAAGCAGGGCACTGTGTGAAAGTACATTTAAGATACACACGTCGCCAAGTCGGACCTGCAACAACATCACTGTGTCTGTGTGTGCGGCCGATGCTCCGGCAGATTCGGATTTAGTCGGGATTGTGGGCGACGACATCTGGAAAAAAACTCGTGCAACACACACACCTCACACCAGCATGACGGCCTGTGAACAAGGTCACTGGGTGCCCTCTGAGAGAAAGTGACAGCATGACAGAGGAGGATGGGTGGAGGGGGAGAACAGAGTGGAGGGGGCGAGAAGAGCGGTAAAGGAAATGCTGGGAAGGTTTTTGAAGAGTGTCCATGCTGGCCCACATCAAATGCCACGGTTATAACCACATACTGGGGGGGGGGGGCATGAATGTGTAGTATGAATAAATGCTGCTTCCAGAAACAATCTAAGAATAGGATCAGAGGGGAGGGGGGGCTGCTGGCCTGACCCAACACCTGTTTGCCTGCTGGCCTTCACACACACAGCGGAGTTTGAGCCCAATATACCTGGCGGCAACCCAACTCTCAAAACGGATGTCACCACAAGCCAAAAGGGGACACATACAGAAGGCGGTGTGTTACTTCTCACACTTCCCTGCCTTTTATAGGTTGTACTAAAATAAGAGTGCAAGTGCATTGTGGCTTTTCACATGTGATTTAGTAGTGTCAACCTTTGAAACGAGAAGAGATCCATTGCATTGCTCAACAACAAATAACTGGGTAAAAATCTGGCTTTCAATCCTCCATGTTTCGGCTGAAGGTCATGTAGTGCAACAATTCGTTCCTGGCACTATTATACTTAAACACATGGAACAGTTTGGACTGCTCAGAATAGTGCTTTCTCCTTTGATCCTGAAGGACATTCCCACTTGGGGTCAATGGAACGGAGGCTAAATGCCAGCTAGCCAAACAGGTGCAGTGGAAAGCTGCTGGGCCACAGAAGGACAGGAGAGGGTGGCTGTAGAGGAGCGATAAGGACAAAGCAAAGGGGAATTATAGATGAAATGACAACTTGGTTTGGTTATTTCTACCAAAAGCCGGAACAAGTCCCCTAAATGTCAAGCCCTTGCTCTGTGTGAAAAAAGGAATGTTCTAAACCTGCTGCTATTTGCCATTTATGTGTCATTAACCATTGCCTTCTATCGAAGAGATTTCAAGAGATCAAACTAAAAAAAAGTAACTATCGGCACGCTCTTTTTTTATTTTGACATTACTATCACAGGTTTTGTAAAAACTTGATAAAGACATTAGCTTCTGATTGCACTGGGTCAAGTAATCAGAACACAGGAGATGAGAAAAACAAAAGCAAAGTCAGCTTAAACTTTAAACAAAAGCAGTGGCCAAGCTGCAGAGCCAACAGGCCAATCAAGTTCAACGCATCGATTGGCAAAGTCCCCTTTAATTCCATCTGGTGGCAGAAGATCCAAAGCCCAGGCCCATTCTGTTCTGCCAGTGATAGCACAGTTTCAGTTATGTACCAGGACAATCAGCAAAAAAGGAAATCAAGTGCAATTTCATTTGATATAAGGCACTGCTGAAATTGCAAATCTGAAAGCGACTTACTTTGGCTTAATGTAAAACCATTGTCTCTCACTGTGTGGCAGTTGAAATAGAATCAGCGTATTGTTTTCTATCAGTGCATTGGTTGGTGTAAAAACACCTGTAATCGAATTGCACTTGACGAGGTTTTGTATTTAGTGTGACAGTAACAGTTCAAACTACTCAAGCTGCCATATTATATAAAGGTTTGATTGGAATAAGGCTCCAGGTGGAGTCCTTTCAACTTCAGAATGTTATCATCAAAAAGGACATAGCTAGCAAGCGTCATCCCGTTGGCAGCAACCAAAGACTTAAGCAGATTTAACGGAGGGAAAAAAGAAGGAAAAACGGGGCCAAGAAACTGGTAGACGATTGAGCGTAGTGGTGTCATAATCGCCTTAAAAGAAGCACTTTCCATGGCACTGGTGTGTGTGATCCATCCTGTCTCAACAACTGTGTCAGGGAAGCGTGTCCCTGAGTCTCCGTCCAGACACATTACAGGGAAGTGCCTGCACTTATAGAGTCACTCTGACAGGCCTCTTATTATTAGTCTGGTTTCAACAAGTGTACAGTGCCGTCTCTAGACAGGTTGTCCTCCTGGCTTCGACTCCCAGGTCCCGTCTACACGCGGGGCACATCAAGCATTTCATTAACACAAATGATAAAAGACAGACATTAAGGCCGAGTCACTCTCTATAGTATAAACTAAATATGCATATATTATTAGCATTAGGATCATTTCGAATACAGAGTAGAGGTTGTTTGTTGGCCTATAAAAAAATTCCAATAACTGCAACCGGTACTCATGGCTCAAGGCAAAAGTGGTGATACAAATTGTAACATTAGATTTAGTTCACCTTTGTCAAAATGGTGACCTACTCAAATTATTAAAGCATTAAAGCAACTACAGACACTGATTTGTCTTTCAATATAAACAGAAAATCGCTAAAAGCTTTATATGAGTTAAGTACCACATTTTTTCTCCTGACTTCATATTTTTTTCTTCATTTCCTCCTAATCGTCTTCTCCTCGCTCTCGCCATTGTTCTGTATTTTCTCTGCCTCTCTCCCTCCGCTCGTCTCTCTCCCCATCGCAGAGCTCCAGTGAGCCGGCTCCCCGCCAGGCAGTGCGGCCCAGGAGGGAGCAACCAGCTGAATTATTGAGAGCATAAAAACGCTGCCGCTAATGGATCCTGAATAAACACACTGGCTGAGCTGCTCCCGCGGCTTCCTCTGCTGCCACGGGGCATCAAGCGAGGAAACACAGGAGGTGGAGGTGGAGGCTGCGGCGGTTGGAGGCTACGTCAGAGGCTTTGTCCGGGGGGCTGCGACACAGCTACGGTAGCCCGGCCAGCTGGGAGCTTTTTGGGCAGAGGGAGCTAACGTTATAGAGACTCTTAAGATTCATTAACGTGGGAGATAAAGGATTTTTAAAACGTATTATTTATTATTTTTTCCCTTTCAGCTTTAGTTGAGCTTGTGCCCCCTTGTTGCTGCAAATGTCTAAACCAAACACGCAGTAGTCTAAGGTAAGGGAGAGAAAGGTAGTGAGGAAGGAAAATTATATTTTAATGACACTTAATAAAGGTGTGTCGAAAGCTGACAATCATTTAGTCGTAGTAAAATCCAGTTAAATTAAACATTCGATATATTGAGGTTTTCCCTGACCTCATCTAATCATTGAAACACTGTTTAAACACATGACCCTGCTCGGCGGTATTTTTGCTTTAATGTTAACTGCACTGGGCCTTTGTTGGCGTAGTAATTGCGTGGGGCCTTTGACATGTCCTGTCCAAGCAAACTGGCACACGTCATTTAGCTTCAAACTGGTAAAAGGTTATTCTGGTACTCATAGCTTCATTAATTGTGCTTAGACAAACTCCTGTGTGCTTGAGCATTCAGTGTTTCCCCCTTGGTTTACAACTTTGGGTGGGTGGGGGGTAGCAGTCAGTCCGCTGGAGCGCTCTGTCTGCTGGTGCGCGCATACAAAGACATATTCGCACACGTGTCAGTGCAGAACTGCCTTTTTTTCCCCAGATTTTTTTGAGGGGGTAGGGGGGATTTCAGGTTATAATGGTAAGGGAAACACTAGGATTTGTACATGCTTGAGCATGTAGAAACTAACCATTTAACTATGTCAGGATTTAAATATAAAGAACTAAAGCAGAAGCCTCAAAATGTTGTTCTGTGATAACAAACACACTGCGAAGGAAAGATTTAAAGACTGATGGATGAGTCAAAAAATAAAACACTGGCCCTCCAGCAAACTGAAGTTTCAAAGATTATGACTCAGCTGAAAATCTGTGTACGAATCCTGTTTCTTTTACTATACACTACGGACTATGTATGAGAGTGTGTGTAGAGAAGGTGATTCCCATATCAGGGGGGTGGAATAAAGTTCTTCTGACTTATGGAAACGCACTGCAAAATAGCACCACTGCCTGGCAAGCCAAAGCAACTAAGGGAGAGATCTAGAAACAATAAGTCTTCAATAAGGTGTCTCTGAATAAGGAGGAAAAACAAAACCAGTGGTTAAAACTCAACTGAAACCCTTGGGCAATGTAAACACTGACGCTTGGAATAACACCTTCTTAACAGTCAATTTGTCCTTCAAAGTGCAGCCACCAGTCATAAACTGAGCGTGTGTCTTAAGTCTCTACAGCGCAGGTGGGAGGCATTTGTGTTGTTAATTCTTTCTCGTATGCGTGGAATCTAACAAGCGAGATTAATACCAAGAGATTAAAAAAAAGCCACATTAAAAGACACTGGGAACTATGCCAAAGCGATGAGCTTACCTTCTTCTTGTCTCTCATGGAGCTCTTGCCTCGCACCATGATTTTGCATCCCGTCTCTGCCTCCAACTGCTTGGCTGTGAGTCCACGTGGACCGAGGATTCTCCCCACAAAGTTATACTGCAGACACACAGAGAGAGAGAAGCACACTAGTGAGTCTAAGGGAGAACATGGTGCAGGATTTAAAAAGGACGCAAGTACATGAAGTCATACCACAAAAGGAGAAGGACTTATAAAGTAATTAAAAGAACCAATCAATTGCAAGGGCTGGATACAAATGGTTGTTCTTTACCGTCCCCCGCTAGGAGGTCAAAAAATAAAAATACTGGGAATTAGTTTGGGAGGGAAAGGAAGTGGAAAATTGAGTAGAAAGGTTGATGGGGTTCCGGGGTGAGGTAGTGTGTACGACACAATTTTCTTATAGAGGCCCCCTTTCACTGGTGAGTGGCTTCGGAGCTTTGAACCAAAGGGAAAAGTATTTACTCCACTTGGAACTGGCTTCAAACAGGATGAAGGGAAAATGCGTTGAAATAATCCAAAACAATTTTTACCCAAAGTATGAACAGAAAGAGAGAAGGAGAGCCGGGGAGCACAGTGACACATAATGCAGTAAACAACTACCCACATTTTTTAGGCACTGTACACAGCTATGGGTACAATTGTTTGACTGTTAAAAATAAGGTATTCTTACTCAAGCATATTTTTAAAAAGGAATTACGGAAATAGCTTTCCTTCACCACAAGAAGCACAACTACTATGAAATGAAGCGTGACGCAGAGGCTTTAAATTCTTAAATAGTCACATCTGCATGTGTGCACCACTGCATCTGCCTCAACCTAAGAAAATCCAAAAGACCCATCAGTCACATTTGTCTCCAGGGGGAGTTACAAATTTAACACTGTGTTGTCGTATTGACCCTCAACTAAGTAAAACACTTGTGAAGATGGTCGGGAACTGTGGGCTGTTGTTTTTCTCGTCCCCGTCACCGGGCTTGCCCGCTATCGTATGTCTCATGCTGGAAAGACACACCCTGTGGCTGGAGTCTCCCTGTAGCATTCTGAGCGTGCGTTACAAGACAACTGTCTGGTTGGTTAACTTGAATCTAGGAAACTGACGCAGGGGCTATTTGAGAGAGTGTGTGCGCCTGTCCTCTGAGGTCAGTCACCACCGACGCACGGTGGCCTGCTTTTGTGCCCGCACAGACAACCGCACGCACGCACGCACACGCACACGCACACACACACACACACACACACACACACGAGGAGCACAGGAGAGAGCCGTCTGTCTGCATCACAGCAACCATTGTGGACAAGGTTGAACCCTAAGCCAGGGTGTGTTGTGGTCGGACACGCACACACACACACACGCCACAGTGGTAACGTCCTGTGTGCAGTTATGCAGTGTACCCCGAAAGCAACTGTTTTGAAAAATTACCATTGTGTATACCTCCACGGAATTAAAAAGATTTTAATGTTTACATGTGGCAGTTACCACCAGCCGTCAATATATTATATATCAGTCCAAATCCAATTTACCCACGGAGTTACAGAATAAGTCAAACAGATAATAGTAACAGATTAATAAACATGAGGTGCTTGCTAAAATATTCCTAAATGATATAGAAAGACCATTTCAGGGTTTTTATTATGTGTCCTTTAATCCCTTTGTTGCTCTCCGACAGGGCAATAGAAATCTCTATATGCTGATAACAATTGCACACGACAATGAGCTGGGGCCCTGGTGATGGAAAGCTGAGAGACCTTAAAAGAGAGAAAAGGTTAGTGACACGGCGCTACAGAGTGTCACAGATGTCATGTATTTTTGCCAGCACTGGGGGAGCCATTATCAGTGAGGAGGGCCGACACTGCCACGACTTTCTCAGTTTCCCCAGTCTAGATGTAGAACTGAATACATGGATATGTAATAATGACACAAAAACACACGCAGGGCAGGGAGCAGGCGCCGGTGGGAACGGCTCTGCCCTCTGCTCTGGCACAGCCGTTACCACAACTTACGCTCGAAAACACCACTCAGGCAAAATTTCTACGCAAACGGGCAGAACATCAAACGCACTAAGATTGTGCTTCGAGCATCTGACCACAATCTGGCACCGGACCAAGAAACCCATCTTCATAAAAAACGTGTCAATTCAGAGCAAAACGAGAACGAAAGTGATGCCAAATGGTTCTCAGTGATGGAATAAAGCAGAATGTTTTAAATGTATTAAATTGGCCCTCTGCGCTCCGTGTCTTCCTGCTGCGCGCTGAGGGTTTGACATTTCTCTCCAGGATGTTGACGTGCCGTTAGAACAGGTGACGTCCATTTAGAGCCACTGGAATGTAGAGACAATGGAGAGCCAAGAGGGAGTTATCAGAAGCATGCAGGGCCGTCGAGCCTGCCACAAAGTCCACTCTGGACAGAAGGAGGAGGACAATGGATATGGTGCCCTTTCTACCAAACACACCAGCAGCTCTTCACCTCCTCTCGCTAAACCATCTACCTCCCTACACACTTAAAAGTGCTAAAAGGTAAGATAAGCTGGGGGTTTTTCTCTTCTCCATTTCTGCTGCTACAGACTCCACCGTCAAAATGAAGTATGTATGTCAACCAGCTCTCTTTAATCAGGACCTACTGACAGCAATCATCTGCTAAACAAAGAATGTGAAAACTTTTTCATCAGTGTTGTTTTCTCTTTGCATTTTTGCTGCAGTCCCATTTAATTTTCTCAGTTAAAGAATCCAGAGATTAGAGACACTGGGACCGTTGGTGGACTAACTCTTTCCATAACTCCTCTGTCTCAGCCCCCCCCCAAACAATTCCACAAGTACAGACCATCAGAGTAGATACAAACATGTGTGCAAACACAGATGCACACACACACAAAGCCCCCTCCAGGACGAGGGCTTACACTGACATTAAAGGGCCTTTGTTTAGCCCTGGTTATCACTACTCCACAGGCGGGTTCGGTTGTGAGCATATCTCTGTGTGTGTGTGTGTGTGTGTGTGTCTGAAAGGACATTTTATGGAGTGAACTTTTACAGACACCCTCAACATCTAGAGCTGACTGTAGCGTGTGTATGTGTGCGTGCGTCAGGGTTTGTTTTCATGTGAACGACTGAGAAACAACAGTGTCTCCAACCATGCCCAGGAAAGCAGAACAATTGTGCCTCTGACAGCGTTTGTTTGTGGTGGTGGGGAGACAGGAAATTAGATCATACTGAGGGCTCAGACTGTGTGCGCGTGGAGCTTATCGAAGTGCAGGACCAGGCGAGGGGAAGAATACCAATCACTTATTAGCCGGCCTTGCTGGACTTATGGAAATGAGGAACAGTTTGTTCCGTGCAATGTATCAAAGAGGTGGAATCTGTGGCGATGCCGTCTTCCCCCCCGATCTTCCCGCTCGCTTGATTCTAACCCGCTCATGGTGCTACAAGTAACATTGCGAAACAGCTCATACCAAAGTAATGGCTAACCATTCATCACAGCAAAACTCCCTTTTTCCTTGTAACCAAGATACTTTCCACCTCATTTCACTTCCAGTATTTGGAGAGCTCAGAGACGTCAACGCGTTGCATCACTGTATCCATTCACAGCATGTGGACGCAGGGCAGGCTTCCTGCTCCTTGTTGTCCTAGTACACAAGATCTGGCCTTTCCTCTCCTGAGTAGAACCCGGCCTCCTATGTGCATGGGTACCCCTCCGTCTACTCACAACCTCCTGAGCCACCAGCCGGCTGCCTGCCTGCTTTTCATCACTCATTCATCTTTGGGCGGAAATGTTCCATCGTTCAAATAATCCATCTTCCTTACCGTCGCTCTGCGGCCTGATCCCCACAACGCGCACACACACACACTTTGTCCCCAAAGGGGAAGACAGGAGGAGAATAGAGAGGAAAGGCGCTGACGGGGTGGCTAACCTACAGTGCTAGCATGCTTCAGCTATGAAAGCGACAGAGGAGGGGAGCCTGGGCCGGTGGACGACCATTCCAATGGTGATGGCTTTTTTTGCCTCAACGCCCTACTACCGACTTCAAAGCGCTTTTCAACGCATCCAGCATTTAAAGCCTAATCCGTGGCTCCTTTGATAATTCTGTTTGGGTTTATTTTGGGGTTGGAGGCAGGGTGAAAATACAAAAGGAGGGAAGACGTAGAGGTGGAAGGCATAACGATTGACATAGGCTGGAAGTTTTCTAAGATGAGTGGAAGAAGCAGGGAGCAAAGTTTGTCAACCTTTGGATAAGCCAGCTATGGGGAGAAGAAGAAAAAAAATACTCGTGAGACACTTAATGCATTTCAGTCTCTCTGTGTTTGCTTGAGTGGGAGGTAATCACAGCAGACCATCCTTTGACACAGCTGAGAAAGCTAGCCATGCTGTGCTACCTTATCTGCAATAATCTCAGCCAGAGGAAAACTATATCCGCTTTAGATTTCCCCCACCTGGCCAATGCCCCATATCCCTGGTTGAGGATCGCATTGATTCATGTGAAGCAACGGAGTCTCAATTGCTTTAACTGATCAGTCACCGGCTATGCATAGTCATCCTTCGCTCACTCACCAGCCAAACACATTCATACAGGTGAGCAAGAAGGCCTTTTACAACCAGCCAGTCGTCCCACGTTATTCATTTGCCTGTCCAGATCAACTTTAGAAACCAAATTGTAAATACGTTCCTGTCTTTATCACAACTCTTTAATTGCTTAGGGGGAGATCGTTGCCCAGAACATGAGAATCCTTATTAATCTATAGACTTCATGAAATACTATTTTAAAAGCAAAAACATTGATATTGATCTCAGAAATCGTGTATCAGTGGGCCGTCAACGACAATGCTGGTGCAGCCTTTGATTCCTGTATGCTTAACCGGCTTCCTTTGTCCTACACCCTCGTTTTCACCTCAAAGATCAACAGGCCAAGGAAGCACTACACACAGCAAAACAACAGTTTTGTAATACGCAAGCAATTGCTGGCATTAGAGCAATTAAACTGTTCTATCCGTTTACCCCATTGCCCTTCATCATGTTAACTGACAACAAATAGAGTCGTCACTGTTTAAATTACCACTGTAATTGCCCTCCTCATCACTAGTAGACCATCCGTTCATCTAATTATTATTATCATGCATAGCTGGATAGCAAGCGATATAAAAATCCACCAGTCGTTCTATCATTGAGGGGAGGTAAGGTGTGGGACGGTACATTTCTAGGACTCTGGTAATGACTTAAGGGGGTCAGAAGGATATCAGGAGCTGGCATGATAAGTGATGACACCCTCATGGGAACAAGCTTAATGACTTTCCATGTGCAGGGAACTGCCTGGTTTGGTCCGAGCAATTTTACTGAAATGAAACAAAGGTGGAGGACATCCTGCCAGCTTATATCTAGGGACGGAATCTCTGCATTGCGGTCAAGGTAACAAATTAAGCTCAGTTGTCCATTTTGCTTTTTGCTCTCCGTACCACAATCCAAGATCGTATTTTCTGTAAAAAAAACAAGCATGGCATTTGTTTTATCATGTAAAGCATTTCATACTTAAGAGAAAGTCACCGGGTCTAGTTTTAAATTTAAGAGACACGGTACAGTTGAGTCCTTGTTCTACCTGTAATAGACTGATAAACAACAACATAAGAACCCAGAAGGATTCCATTACTGAGCCTAACAAGGAGAGTGGTCAAACAGTCTTATTCTGCAGATGCTCAAGACTGTACATCTAAACGAGTGTCCCATTTCATGGAGTCACCACAGCAAAGATGGCATCTGTGCGTCCATGGGTGTATTTTCACCCCGAAGCATTTCTTACCAGCCTGTGAGCTTCCCACAACCCAGCTGAGTATTCAACAGTTAGCAAATACAAAATCACACCAGTGATAAACCAGAGACTGGGACGCACATAAAAAACACATGTCGCACATCCTATCGGGTGCCTGAAGGTCATCAGAAATGACATGCTGAGGTGTCAGTCAGCTGCCTTAAATGTGTGTGTGTTTGGCAAAAGAACATTTAACTGAAGGTTGAAGTTATCAGATAGCCTGTGAGTCAGCTGCCAGTCAAAGACGCAGTCGTCACGGTGACGCTTTGCAGCGCTCTGCACCACTAACAACATCAGCAATCTTTGCAAATCAGCAATCAGCAAACTTTGAAGAACTACGAGGGAGAAGTGAGACATATGAAATGATGGAGACGGATTTACAGCCAATTGTGGGGCACTCAGGAAAGTACATACAGGCCAGATTAGGCATGCTGGCCAGGCTGCTTATTTTGGTAGGGGTGAGATGCTGCACAGCATCCAGGCACCAGGAAAATCAAATTATCAAAGCAGGGGACGTGTAGGTGAGACAGAGAGGGGCCAATCGAGCAAGAGTGACCTCGGCATGATGATGCGGTGGGTAAAAGGTAAGTGGGAGTTGTTATTTTGAAATGAAAGTGCAAGCTGAGAGGCATAGTGGCAAGTGGATAGCGGGTGTCTTAAAAAGTATGGAGAGAAGGAAAAAGGAAATGATGGAGAAATAGTTTGAAATGTGACAAATTATAGTAACGATGTTGCCAAAAAAACAAAACGCCGAGGCTGCGACCGTCATTCACTGTGTTCTTAAAAAAAAGAAGCTAGAATTGCCTCACCAAGACAAACAAGCGCACACACACGTATGCATAAGCCGTTTTGATGCAAGTTGTACCCGATATCCAAAAGAAAATGTGAGGAAGATGCGGGGGATATTCCCCAGTCTAATAATCATCATTACAGCTTTAGATCCCTTTAGCAGTGAGCTGATGGGGATAGAAAGTTACATTTTACTTCTCTTCCTTCCATCAGGCGTATCCCTCTTTTCACTCTGATCCTACATCATCTCTTCTCTTTTCCAATGACAAAATGATTTGGGTTAAAAACACTAATTGGCTGTAGGGATACTCTGTCTGGGAATGTGCTGCTATGTCTGCTGTTCGGATGATCAAAATTCAAAGTTTCTGCCTACCGTTTAAAATTTCTAACCGGCAGTGAAAGCAGCAGTGAAAACATGGAGTAGACAGAGGTATTCCTTTGCAAGTATTATAAGGTGACACTGAAAGAATTGTAAGGACAATATAGTTCTACATTTAATAGTAATAGTAATAGTAATCGATTCACGCTGCCTTTGTCCTCCATCCGGACTGCGGATTCGCCTCATTACCCGGGAGGGCCATGCGCAGGGCCGATTGGGAGCGGGAGCGAGACGCCCCGTCTCTCCCAGCAGCCACGGAACGCGTCGCCCCTACCTACGTTCATTTTGTCAAACCCTAAAGCATCCACCTTGATACTTCGTCCCGCTCAGTGTCCCTTGCACTTTTTTGTTAAAAAAAAGGTGTATTTATTCATTCTGAAGAATAAAACATTTTCTGTTCTTTAAAGAAGGAAAAAATATATATTGTCACATTGTCATTATGTAATCAGTGGCATGAATGGTCTGAAAAATACAATAATATAGTTTATCGAAATTAATTTAGTTATATATATTTAGTAGTTAAAGTAGTTATAGTGCCCTATGTATATAATACCAGCTTCAGTTATTGCACATTAATCTGGTCACCAAAATCCAGATGTAGGGACGTAAAATACATTTAGATATTCAATTCAGACCTGCAGGAGATTTCCCATAATTCCAATCATCACATCCATAACAAAGCTATCTGGCATTCCCTTTGCAGCAGACTTAATGATCACACTTTAGGAGGGAGCTGTGCACGTGTGTACCTAGATACACTGGGAAAATGTCCAAGTAAAATGCGTGCCAGTTTAAATCACTATGAATGGGTATTGTGGTGTGTGTGTAAATTAGAGTCGGAGGTCATCGTGAGTCATCTCGGCCACTAGGGCGATGCCTAATTAATTGAGTAGCTTTCCCGGCAGCTCGTAAACAAAATACTGAGCTGCTGCGGAGCGCATTGAGCGGAGGGAACACAGGGGTCACCCGAGGATGCCACATTTTTAATAGTTTCAGTGTGTTTGCGAAAGTGTGAGAAAGTCATCCTAGGAGCTCCTTCTCAGCCACACATTTTCACAGCTCCCCCTCCCACTACTTCAAACTGTATGAGGCCGTTAAAAGGGCCCACGGAACTTAATGTTATGCATGAATTTCAAGTAGCACAGCAGCTGCACCGTTATATACAATTTTGCCATACAAAAAAATACCCATGTTTAGTAAAAATGAAAGGACAATGAAAGTAATTGAAAACATGAGTTAAGCAATTAGCACAGAAAAGCAGCAGCGGGTGCAAAGATGTGATTCTAACTAATTGCAGGACGGCCCAAGGACCCGAAGTTCTCACACTCTGGATGAAAGGTGACAGGCAGTGTTGTGGTTCGTTGATTTAACTTAAGTTCAGAGGCCGGGTCTGTCTGAAGGCACAGCTGGAGCTAAGCCGATGCCGGCCGCTCCTTGGTGCCCTTTATCAATTCTGTCAGGGGGGAAATGCAATCCACGCCTGGCTGAGCCCTGCTCTACAGGGTCTCTTATCCTTCAGCCCCTCCCTCCATTCACTTCCTCACTGCAGGGCGCTGGGATTACCAAGAGGAGCGTTGCTGCTCAAGATGTGACAAGAACATTCACGTGGGCGCCACAGATTTCCATGAAGCCAGGAAGGTGGCCGACTGGCCAAAACTTTGCAAACACACCACATGGCTCTACGTCCAGGACACGCGGGAAGACAACGCAATCATTTCAGATAAAGCTTTTACAGACTCCCGTCTCGGCTTGGTTGCCACCACCCTCCTCGTCTCCACAACCAGCATGATAGAGTGTGTGCGGTTTTGTTCCAGCGTTGTGTGTGCATGTAAATGTGTACGTCTTTCCCCTACAGAAAAAGCTGTCGAGACCACAGCTGTAACCAATGCGAGTGGTGAGCCGAAAGGATTTCCATCTCTTTCCAGCTGAATATTTATGGCATTGCACCTTACTTTTCATGACGACCCTGCTATCAAAACCCTCCTCATATCCCTCTCGGCAATAATCTAAAACTGAGTCAGCCCATAAACGCCCCAGCATGCCATGTTTTGAGAACAGGACTAATTTAGACTTCCTCCTGATAGAGCTTCGACAGTTAATCTTTGTGTGTGTCCATATAAAGTACGTTTGAATGCATCAAAGCAGCAGCATTTGGCTGTTTTTTTACAAACTAGGGCTGTCAATAGATTTTTCTAAATTGACTAATTAATCGCACATTTTGAAATTAATCGTGATTAAACAAAACTAAAGGTTTGTTATTCTTTTAAAGACTAAATATTACAAGCAATGAGTAATCAATGAATTGTTTGTGTTAAATACAAAGACACATGTGAGCATCTTGGAGGTATAATTGTAGAACCTTGTGCACTTTGCTGTGAACTCTCCATCATTTTAGGGCAATGTTTGAAGTGCCATCAATCTCTCGACATTTAGCCAGGACATTTTCCAAACCACTGTCTTTCAGGGTGTGGTTCTGTGCAGACCGTGTGTCGTGCAGGGCAGATGTTCAGACGGGAAGTAGCCTACCAGCTGGCTTAGTCCACATTAATCGCATTTGTTAACACGTTCATTTTGACAGCCCTAATACAAACATAAAATGCATCTTATTGCTTACATTGCCCAAATTGAAGGAAAGCCAAACATTATAAGACTACAGACATCCTATATAAATGATTTAATAGGCCACTTAATTTTCTGTATTGCACATTTCCCAAGACACATTTGTCTCCTCGTTCCAACGTAAATGTTGGTGCTAAAACAATGAAGGTCAAACGCACCGATATTACCGGGGGTGTGGAGTGAGGTGTGTGAAGCAGTCACTTACATCAGGGTACTCTTTGACAGGCACAAACAGTTTTTCCTGCAGGTGGACGATGGGTCCCAGAGGCTCCGGCAGCTCCATGGGGTGTCTGTCCACAAGGCCATTTGCAGAGTCGCTGTACATGTCTTTACGCACTCTGTTGATCTCTGAAACACAGAAACATGTACAACTGGGTAAGCAACAGAATGGATGATCACCAACAAACATGTATTTATTTGATATAGCACTGTCATTTAAATGCCGTCTTCTGGCCGAAGCCTAATGTAGGATATGAATCTCAGTTGTGAGAAAAAGAAAAAAAAAGAAAAACATTTTTTTGGATTGCCTCAAGTAATCTCCCTTTTATAGACAAACAACGGAGTAAGTCTGTGTTTGGGGAGTATGACAAATTGAAAAGGTTTGTAGCCTGTAAAGCAGAGCATGGGAGCTTCTCAATACGAATAAATGCTGTTAATGCGCGTAAGTTCTTCTATATGCCAAAGACAAAAGTTAAGCGCAGCCGCTGCATTATTTAGGGGTTTAAAGGCCATCGTCTTTGCTCTGTGCCTGTTACTCCCCAGTGGCCATTTCCTAATAGAGCAGCCTGTGCGAGCAACGCCTTCAGATCTGATCCCTGTCAGATAAAACTAATGGGCCGCTTTCTCACGCACGCGCACACACACACACACGCCACATCGATGGCTGCCTTACAATTCCACAGGAGCAGATAACCACTGTGCAAAGCAGGCAAAAAAAATAAAAAATCAGCATTCATTCACCCTCATGTGTGAGTGTTTCACAGATGAATGCGGATCGACATGTGCAGTCGTCACGCCCGCTAATAGAGGACATACACTGTGTAGCTGCCCACGTGTGCCGGTGCGGACAAACAGTTGGGCCTTTGCTGAGCAGAAAAGTTAATCAGCAGTAAAGGGTAGAAGGAACGGGATTCACATCAGCAAAGACGCACATGATGGTTTCTGTGAAACAGCTGAAAGTGGAAGGGGTGGTGAGGCCTCAAGTAACGACGTCCGGACGGTGGACTGCGGTCAGGTGTAAGCGCTATTTCCATCCCTCATAAGACTTGGGAGCTCTATATTAAACCTGAGCTGGGGAAGCTGACACTCAAGGTTTTGAGGTCAGGCAGGCTTTTCTGGGGGCATCTATAGTTAAATTGTAGGATGAGGGAGGGGATCCGGGGGTTGGATAAACTAATTTAGTTCAGTCTTTGTTTAAGTTAGAATAATTAAACTGTTACCAAAAAAAAGTGAAAAAAGGTAGTACAAATAAGAAAATAATACGATTTAGGCAGCCCTGGCAACACTTTGCATGGATTTCCCGTTGAGCTGAGAGCTTGTTTACCGTCAACGACAGACTGACTCATTTGAGACAGGGGCGCACGGACACCAAGGAGCATACACACAAACATCTGGCCTGCAGCTGTGTGGACAATACCTACGGGATACATCGGTCTCATAAAACCGTGCCAGGAGAGTCGGCCCACAGCGACTCATTCTCCAATAATGTGACCTCTGTGCTCAGTGGTCCACAGATACTCCCCCGGCAGTCCCTAAAGATGAATTCATCCTCATGCTATCTCGCCCAAAAAACAGATTACATCAGTCCTAACCGACACCAGTGGCTTCCGCCCACATACAGGCGTTGCATAAGGGAAGAGGGGTTTTGCAGCGACACGGAGTAAGCGGGACGAAATAAAATTAGGAACTGAAAATGAAAATGTATTTTATTTTATTATGTTTGTCCAAAAGAACCGAGAGTAAATATGGCAAAAATAAAAGTTACCCATAGATATGCAAATCTTGCTGTCTAATCTTAGTTTACATTTTAAAAGTGGTGATCACATTCTATGAAAGTGAGATGTCCTTCAGTGCCCGTCTCTTCAAGCAAACATGAACAAAGAGCCATTTAACAGGCCGCTGGTTACGCCCGCGTGAAGCAACGAGTGAAGAAACACCTTCTGCGGCTTAGAAAATATCTTCTCTACGTAGAGCTCACAGTAAATACACTGTGTGCTATTTGCAACTCCAATTTATCCCAATTCCTCCAATCTAGCCAAGAAACACCATCTTTCTAAAAGCGAGAAAAAAAGTATGTGCACGTGGCTACCCGACAACCACCATCAGCACCCCTCCTCCTAATTCGGTTTCCTCTTGCTGAAATGCCACATTAACATAAGGGCGCCGTGCTGGCCATCAGTGGAGACGTGTGGCATTTGACAACCACTAATTTCAGCACGGCAAGTCTTTTCTGAAGCGCTGGGCTCATCTACAAAATTGGCCCCTGTTTTGCACAGCCTCCACAAAAAAAAAGATCATTTGTCTAGCTGTCCACCCGGCGAGGAACAGACCCCCCGCCTCCCTTACTCCTCCTCCAGCAGTTGCTCAGATTAGTGGCTGTTTTAAACCCTGGATCAGCAAAGCAGACACAAAACTGCACGTTAGGTCAAAGCTGTCCATTTGCACGTGCAGGGCGGCTGCACAAGCAGGCGCGCACTGGGCTCGCTTAGCAGCAGATCAATTGTAATATTGCGTTTAAGCGATTTATCCAGACGTCTGGAAGGAAGAAACAAAAATCAACGTGTGGTTGGAGGGCAGAGTGAAAAACTGTTTGATGAGGCAGAGACGGAAGAGCAAGCAGAAGGCACTTCGCTGTCACTGCTCTCTTCTGCCTCGAAGTAAGTTAAAACTTCAGCTTCTTCGCTTTCCTGGTTTGTCGCAATTCGTGCCCCTTTATTCTCAAACATTCAGTGACAAAAGGAAATGTCACAGGTTGCGGCGGCAGATTCATTTGTGCTTTGTCAGTAAAAGTAGGAAGACAATTTCTCTGAAGCTTATTGTTGATCTTGACAAATGGGGAAAGAGCAATACCCAAAAGGAAGGACATGGGGAAGGACAATGGCAGTCGGATGGGGTTTGAGAGGCAGCGGACTGAGGAACATGATGGAAGAAAGCGCCAAGTTGAGAGCCAATAAACAACAGTGGGCAGATCTTGAGTGGGAAAGACTTAAGATCTTCTTGACCGTACAAACATATTGGAAGAGACAACTGGTTCCGTGCAGTGGACGGTTGTCAGATTAGTTGTCATTATATGACGTCGTTGGAAGCTCAAGAAAAATTAAGTAGCTTGTTATACAAATTTAAGAGGATGCTTGAATATGGGCCACAGTACTAAAATATAAAACACATAACAAATGATGACTCTAGGTTCTGGGCAACATTCTGATTTAATCGAAATACTGATTTACAGTATTGTGTGAATTACAAAACGGATACACATTTCATTTTGCTCATCGATGTAACAAAGCAGCAAGCTAAGCCAATAAACTGCACAATTAGAGCTCTTGATCTGCTACCTCCCTTGTTATTGTTCCTAAGTGGGCAGACTTTCCAAACACTAAAAATAACTATTCCACTCCTATGAGTTATTTGGAAACAGCCACAGCCATCGTGAACTTTTCATTTATTCAGAGTCTGATACCAAAAATATGATCCCAGAAGCAGCACCGGCAGAATTAAGGGACTTTTTACAGGAGGGGTCAGGAACGTTGGGACAGGAAAGAATAGCCAAAATGAGGTAGAACCATTTCTTAATGTTACAAAACCTGTGTTCTAACATTATGTAATGAATGGAAGCAGCCAGAGGGAAACTTGGAGATTGGCATGGACAGTAAAAAAGAAAAGTAGTCAGGAGATGCTGTAATTTGGTTCAGAACCGGTTCATGCAACTAGACCTGCTCCATTAGAAAACCAGAACAAGTCCATTAAGGGGCCAAAAACAGAACTATTCTGAAACCGCTTAGGTCTCAGCCTGTGGCTCAGAGCAAAATGTCCTCTGACCATGCAGAGCACATCCGCCCATTTAAGTGATGTGAGCGAGTGAAAGAAATAGACCGATAATATCTGACACCTGAAACAGATCAAGTCGAACACGGTTTCGTCTTAGAGGCAAAATGATCAAAACGTTCAACTTTGTAGACACTGAATCAATCTGTTCAGAGAATTCAACATCCGGGGTATTGGAAATCCTTCCATGTTTTTATGCTTGCACGTGTGAACATTTTCAGATTGATTTCAACCGGGGAAGAAGAGACTAGGAAGCCCAGGCAAAATATAGATTTTTTTAAAAAGTGGTAGCGTAAAAATGATAAAATTCAGGATATCACAGATGCACCTTAATGCGAGGGACATGCCTTTTCACTTTAAAGTGGTTCACTTTGGCGATCACAAAGCCCGGGTGCCCAAATGATTTGGGGCGCTTAATGCATCCCTGCCCTTTATCCAGGGCGCAGACGACTTTATCCAAGACGACCTTCCACTTCAACAGTTAAGGGTGGTGGGGGCGCGGGTGGCGGCGGGCCGGGCATGTGAACAACAGAGGTTTCTTTTCACAGCATAGAGGAGAAATATGGTACGCATTGGTGGGGGTAACAGCCATGCAAACGTATGCATTTCTGGGTCTTATCGTCAACTCACAGCTGCCTGCGCTCTCTCCCGCCCTCTTTGAGAAAAAAAGTTTCTGGGTGCTAATCTTTGATTTAACAGCAGGCCTGCACTGCACACCCCTTTGATGTTGTTGCACAAACTAGTCCTGTACGGTTAATGAGTATACTGTACTACAGCAGTTATTTCCTTTCTCAATGGGAAAATACAAGGTTCAGATTTGATTGCATTACGGTGCATTTACATTAATGGACTATGACGTCAACAGCATACAGCCATGAGGTCAGCCTTTCACTTGCCTTTGCTTACTATTCACACAGATTGTAAATTGAACAGAACGCCTGTTTGGCATGCGACTGATTTTGGTTTTGAACACCCTGCGAACCAAGGCAATATCGGGCAAAGTATAGACAAAATGATGTGGTAAATAACCGCAGCACCGGACCTGCAGTAGTATATCAGACTATGGATCATCATTTGTTCAACCCAATTTAGGCACCGTTGTGTCTCAACAAACACACTGACTTATTTGCGAGAGCATGACACAAGTGTGTCTATCACTTGTGGTACTTTACAACACACTTGGGTGCAAAAGTGCTCTCCCCGTGGCATCCACCCAGCCTCTTCTCGCAGTCAGGCAACAATGAACGGCATAGGAGCGTTTGTTGCTGTGGATATGAGACTATAGTCAGGCGTGGAAAACAAAG